TAAAAATCTGCATTCTACCCAACTGGATAATCTAAAAGAAACGGATGAATTTCTTGATACAAATGACCTACCAAGATTAAATCCAGATAAAATAAGCAATTTTAAAAGACCCATAACCTCTACTGAAATAAATGCAATAGTTAAAAACCTTATAACAATAACAACAGCAACAACAAAACCCATGAAAGTAGATGGATTCAGTGCAGAACTATGCTACTTCCTCAAAGAAGAATTAATGGCAATATTCTTCAAATTATTCCACAAAATAGAAAATGAAGGTACACTTTCTTTTTAAGAAGCCACTAATCCCCCAATACACAAATTACACAAAGATCTAACCAAAAAAGAAGTTTATAGACCAATTTCCCTTATGAATTTAGATGCAAAAAAGTCTACCATGATTAATTTCATCCCAGAGATGCAGGGATGGTTGAGAGACTACAGATACAGGGGTCATTCCTATTTAGAAAGGTAACTTACTGTAAGCCCATAGCCAGCATCAACTTAAATGGAGAGCATTTCCATTAAAATAAGATAGACAAGGTTGTCCACTCTCTCCATACCTATTCAATGAAGAACTTGAAGTCTTAGAGCAACAAAATTACTGGACAAGATCAAGGGGATACAATTTGGAAAGGAGGGAATCAAAGTATCTTTATTTGCAGATGATATGACTGTATACATAAATGATGCTAAAAAACTCCACCAGGAAAACTCTACAGCTGATTAAATACTTTCAGCAAAGTAAAGCAGGATATAAAATTGTTGCAGATTTTTAGCAGAACCTTTGTATCTGGTAGAAATCTGGAATGATGGCACCTAAGTTTTAAAGTAGCCTTTTGACAGTGATTGTTACCTGAGATTTTATGGTGCTATTCCTTTGATGATTTCTCAGAGCCTTTGTACATCTTAGTTTGGAGACCTAAGGTCTTTCAAGATAGCCTCTAGGTCAGATAAGAAGTTTTGGAATATGGAAATCAACTTCCTAAAGGTGTCTTTTGAGTAACAATAAAAACAGCTTCTAGGAAGCTGTTGGGATTGAGTCTCTAGAGGCTAATCATCTGCAGCTGAGAAGCCTGAACTTATCCAGTCATGGCTCTCTTTTCTTCGGTTAGTCCATGTAACCCACCATCACAAACACTTGACGCCCAGTGTCATGATGCTCAAAGAAAGGAAGCATCTGGACACTTCAGAGACTGGAGGAATGTGCTCAGGATTTGGCAGGGTCAAAAACTCTACCAGGAAAACATCTGTAGCTGATTGAACATTCAACAAAGTAGCAGGATATAAAGTTAAAACACACAAATGGAAAAAATAGTACCTTTCACAACAGCCTCAAAACAAATATATCTTGAATAACTAACCAAACAAGTGAAGGACTTGTACAATAAAAACTTTAGGATGAGGAAGAAAGAAACTGAAGAAGTAAGAAGATGGAAAGATCGCCTAATGCTTCATGGATTGGTAGGATTAACATGGTAAAAATAGCTATCCTACCAAAAGCAATCTACAGATTCAATATAATCTCCATCAAAATTCCACCAATTCTTTGTAGAAATAGAAAAAAAAAACCTATCTTAACTTCATATGGAAGCACACACACACACACAAATACACACACAACAACAACAACAACAAAAAACAAGCTAGCTGAAACAATCCTGAATAATAAAAGAACTTCTGAAGGTATCACAACCCCAAATTTCAAGTTTTATCACAGAGCTATAATAATAAAAACAACACGGTACTGACATAAAAACAGACATGCTGATCAATAGAATTGAACTGAATGACCAAACATAAGTCCACATACCTACAGACATGTGCTTTTTAACAAAGAAGTAAAAATACACACTGGAGAGAAGATAGCATCTTCAACAAATGGTGCTGATCTAAACAACAACAACAAAAAAATCTAAACAGCAGCAAAGCAAATAACCCAATTTAGAAAGTAAGGTGCAGAAGTAAGCACAGAGTTCTCAAAAGGTGAAACCCAAATGGCTGAGAAACAGTTCAACCCAGCCATTAGGAAAATGCAAATTAAAATTACTTTGAGATTTCATCTTAGACCTGTCAGAATGACCAAAATCAATAAAACAAATGACAATTCATACTGGAAAAGATTTGGGAAAGGGGAACACTTACTCATTGCTGGTGGAAATGCAAACTTGTATAGCCACTATGGAAATCAATGTGGCCATTCCTCAGAAAAATAGGAATCTGTCTACTTCAAGATTCAGGTGTACCACTGTTGGGCATAATACTCAAAAGACACTTTTTCCTAACATAAGGACACTTGCTCAGCCATGCTCATTTCTGCTCTATTTATAACTGTTAGAAACCAGAAACACCTAGATGTCCATTGGCAGATGAATAGATGATAAAAATGTGGTACATTTACACAATGGAACTAGAATATAATCATCCTGAGTGAGGTATCCCAGAGTCAAAAGGACAAAAACTGAATTTTCTCTTATATGTGGATGTTAGCTTACAAGCTTCTAATATCTGGACTATAATTTGAATGCCCTCAGAGGTTGGGTACCTAGTATAGAATGAGGGAGGAGAGGAGGGGCTTCCAAAGAGGAAGGTGATGTGCAGAGTAAGAGATACATTCAGTCCTGTATGGGGCCTCTTTACCAAACCCCTCTCCCTCAAGGCTCAGGATCTGTAAGGAAGAGGAGGCAGAAAGACTGTTGAGAATGACTCCAAGACACAACAGGACTAATGCAAATATGAACTCAGAGACTACGGCAGCATGCCCAAGACTGGCAGAGGGTCAAGCTATACGGGGTGTTGGCACTGAGAGGGGCTGAGGATGCAACTCTACCCAAAAAGCCATCTGCAACTGAGACCTGCTGGAAAAGGGCATACCAGCTTTCTTCAATCGAGTGTCACTAGGTAAAATCAACCACACTCCAGGCCAGGCCCCAGGCCCAACAGTGTTGGTCATCATAAAATGAACTCAAGGCTATTTTCCTTTGTTTTACCTTTTATTTTTTCCTTTTTGTTATTGGTCTTTTACCTGTTTGTTTTGATTTTTTGGTTTTGTGTTTTTTGTGTGAAGGCATTGTTTGTGTCTTTTGTTGCTTTGCTTTCTTTTCTTTTTCTTTTTGAGGGCAAGAGAGGGGTGGAACATAAAGTTAGGTGGTAAGGATTCTGGGATCTGAAAGGAGTTGGTGGAGAGAAAAACATGATCAAAAAATGTTTTCAATTAAGAATGAGTCTAAAGACACCATCTTATTAAGATGCTAATTCTTGGGCTGAGGATGCTTCAGTCAGTAGAGTGTTCGCCATGCAACCACGAGTAGCACAGTTTAGCTATGCACCACCCATGCAGAGAGTTGGGAGTGGCGACACATGCCTGCAATCCCAATTCTGGGAACAGAATCCGTGAGGCTTATTGGCCAAACAGTCTAATTACATGGGCAAGCTTTAGATTCAGTGAAAGAGCCTGTCTCAAAAAACAAGCTAGAAAGCAACAGAGAAAGACACCAAAGTTAGAGCTCTGGCCTCCACATGCACAGACACACAGTCTGCATGTGCGCACAACCCCCCCCCCCACACACACACACAGCACACACAGGAAAGAAGCCAATTCTGCCTAACTGATAGGCTATAAACTTGCCAATACAGAAATACCAATGAGCTACATAACCAAAACAACCTGGGAAGTAGAGATAAACTTGGAAGGTTTCCCTGATTTCAAGTGTTACTGTAAGGCAACAGCAATCAAGATGGCATGATGCTGACCAGGAGATTAACACGGTCAGCAGAGACATCTGACAGAGACAAAGGCTATTCAGTGAAGAAACAAGAGCCCTTTCAACAAATGCTGCTGGAAAGACTCTCTTTTTAACAGAAAAATAGTAATGCTGATTTATGAAACTCTCAGTGTGTCACAGATGGAAATGTGAGGAAATTTTCCCTTATCTAAGATTAACTACAGGGTGCTAAAATCTTCAGATAAATATTCTTATATGTGATATAATTACTGAGCTAACATTGACTGTTTTGTTTTTTTTTTTTTTATATTTTAAAACGTTTAGAGCTCTTTTTTAAAAATTATTTATTTTTCATTAATTACTGTTAATTCACTTTGTATCCCAGCTGTAGACCCCTCCCTCGTCCCCTCCCAATCCTACCCTTCCTCCTTCATCTCTTCCCACGACCCTCCCCAACTCCACTGATAGGGGAGGTCGTCTTCCATTCCCTCTGACCCTAGCTTGCTTATCACTCATCAGGACTGGCTGCATTGTCTTCCTCTGTGACCTGGAAAGGCTGCTCCCCTCTCAGGGGGAGATGATCAAAGAGCCAGCCACTGAGTTCATGTCAGAGACAGTCTCTGTTCCCATTACTAAGGTACCAACTTGGAAACAGAAACTATGGTATATTTACACAATGGAATACTACTCAGCAATTAAAAACAAGGAAATCATGAAATTTACAGGCAAATGGTGGGAATTAGAAAAGAACATCCTGAGCAAGGTATCCCAGAAACAGAAAGACACACATGGTATATACTCACTTACAAGTGGATATTAGACATATAAAATAGGATAAACATACTAAAATCTGTACACCTAAAGAAGCTAAGAAAGAAGGAGGACCCTGGGTAGGATGATCAATCCTCATTCAGAAAGGCATTGGAAGAGGGAGTTTTTTTGTTTTTGTTTTTGTTTTTTTTTTAATTCTTTCACTGTTGTATCTTACATGGAGTCTTTTGGCTCCATATGTATATGCATAAAATATCTGAAATGAGCCAGGTGCTGTGGTGCATGCCTTTAATCTCAGCAGAGGTAGAGGCAGAGGCCAGAGGGCAGAGGGCAGAGAGGCAGAGGCAGGCAGATCTCTGTGAGCTCAAGGCCAGCCTGGTCTAGGACAGCCAAAGCTACACAGGGAAACTGTCTCAAAAAAAAAAAAAAAAAAAAAAAAATCTGAAATGTAGTAAAGCAATGTGATTCAAAGTAATTACAAAAAAAAAATTTTAGTATTTTTACCTATTCCTGTTTCTGGCATTGCAAAGAGAGATCGTTCTGTAGCCACTCGGAATTGCCCATGAACTGAGACACCAACTCCCTAGGGAAATAAAGAAAAAAAAAAAAAAACACTTTAAAACGTGGTAAAAATTAAAAGCATTAACATAAATATTGCAATGCAAGCAAGTATTATGTTATCTTTATATTCTATAGCAATTTGTTTCAGTATATAAGCTGGAAGGAAACCCTAAGTCTCACAGTTTCAGACAAATTTTCTAGACAAAAATACACAGGCATCTCTGCCATGTAAGGTGGCCTGTTCTAAGTGGGCAGTTTTGTCAGCAATCTTTATTGGGCGCTGGTCCCTCCCCCAGCATTACAGGACGCTGCCTCTCCTAGGAAGCTGAGTACTGCTTATTATTGGCACAAACAACCAAGAAAGTACAACCAAGTTATTATAGAAGATTGAGTAATTTTGAAAAGAATATTTATTAACCTATTTCATCAAATAAGCCACATCATTATTTTCACATGTACCATTTAATGAGACCAATTAGAAAACTCCTCTAAACCGGCTACTAAAAGATTTGGTTGAAAGTCTACCTCAGGCTTGATGAAGGACACTGAAAAACGCAAACACTGAATACAGCAAATGCTAGAAACAGAAGTACATGTGGAGACAAGCTACCCCTGTTTATACTGACTGCTGTCACCGGACCTCCCCACGATCTGCTCTGTCCATGTTCACAACTCCACACTGTTCCCATTCTCACACTAACCAGTGAGATACATACAGTATTTAGAACAGTGTCAGGATCTTTGTATGTTATAGCTAACATAGTTGTGCGTTAGCTAAATAGGGTTCCATATCGGATTCTTTTCATTTCCATTAAAATTCCCTAAATTTCTTTGTGTCTTCCTGAGTTTTCTTCAAGTGATTTAGTTCAGTCACTTGTAAATAATTAAAACCTTTAAGCCTCTCATTAAGAAAACACTTAAACACCCATGTAACTTTTTATAAGTTAGTACTCCACATTAAGTTTGAAATCAAATAATCATGGCCATACACATGTCAATCAAGGGCGTCCTTTAGTCTGCACCTATGCCCCTTGTGATCAACACCTCTAAGTTACACTAGATTCTCTGTGTAGGCACATTTATTTATTCTGGATGCTGCATTAGGGCATGGTCAAGGGACAACATTGCCCAAATCAGACCATCCATATACTAAGACTACAATGAAATCTTACAATTCTGATAAAAATAAAAAATGTTATATTGATAATTTCCTCCATTAGGAGCCTTTCCCTTATATTCTATTCTGTACTTCTAGGTTGTCATATTGTAACCAAGAACTTAAAATTGTTTTTGGAACATACTGTTATGAATTTAAAAGAAAATGTAAGGCTGAATTAGTAGTTCTAAGACAGGCTTCTGTTTAGCCTTGGACATAGAACCGGATGTCTCCAGTTCTCAACTCATACACCCTGCTCAGCTCTCATCTAATTACTGTTCTTTGTCTTTTAGCTAGCATAATTCCACAAACAGCACATAATTATAACCTTTATTATTTACATATCAAGCTAAAATCTGACTATAACTCTCAATCTAAGTCTTATCATTCTCTTTCAAAAGATGGTGATAATCAAAACTCTACATACCATGTACCTATATATGATATACACACACATATGACATATATTTTATATGTTATAGCAATGCATGCAGCATATATTTTTAAAGCTCCATTCCATGGCCTGCAAGGAGCACAGCACTCAAGCCCAGCCCACCCCAGTGAACTTCATCTTCTTCCATTCTTCCGTCGGCCCCACAGCTTTGGGTCATTCCCCTAAAAGGTTAACCTTTTATACCTTCAATTGACTGTCTAATTAAGAAATTAGTTTGTGTTACTAACGCATGGGTTTTATGATGACATTTCATACAAAGATCATTATCTCAATCATATTTACTTCACTCCACCTCTGCGCTGGCTAGTCTTATGTCTACTTGACATACAAACCAGTCATGTGAAAGAAGACAGCATAACGGAGAAGGCTCCTCCACAAGGTCTGACTATGGGGCATGTTCCTAATTAGTGATGGATGGGGAGGGCCCAGCCCATGGTGAGAGGGGCCATCCCTGGGCTGGGTCCTGGGTTCTATAAGACTGCAGGCTAGACAAGCCATGGGAGCAAGCCAGTCAGCAGCACCCTCCATGGCTGCTGCATTAGCTCCTGCTTCCAGGTTCCTGTCCTGTTTCGGTTCCTGTCATGACTTCCTTCAATAATGAACAGCAATATGGAAGTATAAGCCAAATCTTTTCCTCCCCAACTTGCTTTTTAGATATGATGTTTGTTGCAGCAACAACCTCCATTGACCACATTCCTTGTTGATCACCCCTTTTCTGCCTAATCCCCCTTCAGCTTTTATGTCACATACTCAATGTATGCACATATCTATACACACACACACACACACACACACACACACACGTACATGTACATACATGGGAGCATGTACACATGCACAGTAAACATGTGATTCTGAAATGAAGAAGAGCTAGAAGAAAAGCCTTTTGCCTTCTATACTGAATCTGCCCTACCCAGGGAATCCCTTCCTTTGCCAGCAGGGGCTGAACAATGGACCCAACAGCAACCAACTGGCACTGACCTGGAGAGCAAAGGCTGTGAGGGCTTAGACAAAGTTCTTATTGAGGTCTTTAAACTAAAATACAGTCGGCTGTGTGGTGATGAGAGCCATGGAAGTTTAAAGGTCATCTGAAATTTGAGTTGGAGATCAAGTTGAAGCTAAGTAGTGGCTGAAATTAGGGATAGAGAACATAATCTGAGGAGGCCACAGCCAGTGCATATCAGAGAACAAAGCAAATATTTGGAAAGGAAAAGGCCATGGAAGATGGAGGTAGGAGTCAGAGGATCAGGGAGTTTGCTGTGAGATCAGGTTTTCTAGTAACATCATAAAGTCTCACCAATATGACTGCCCAAATGTAAGCTGACAACACTAACGGACATGCCAAGGTGGATGGGGAAGGAGACCTCAACCATATTCGAAGTAACTACAGGCAACCAATAATGCTAAGCAAAGGAGAAACAGTCTTCCGAGGGAAGAGCACACCAACTGGTTATCCAACACCAAATGGAGACATCCCATTTAGGGCTGAGTGTTCTGAGGTCTCCTACTCTCTGAGTAGTGTCTGTGTAAGTCTCTATATTTGTTTCCACATGCTGCAGGAAAAAGATTCTCTGATGACAGCTGAGCAAGTGATTGATCTACGAGTAGACCAGAATATCATTAGGAGTCATTTTATCTCTACATTAGATCAGAAGTATTTGGTTTTACCTTAGTTCCCTGGCTATCTAGTCTCAGGTTCATGGCCACTCAAGCAGTGTTGGGTACGGATTTTTCTCATAGAGTGAACCTTAATAAAAAGGCTGTTATTAGTTGATCATTCCCACAAGCTTTGTGCCACCATTGTCCTGGTATATCTTGTAGGTAGAATATCATTATTGATTAAAAAAAAAATTGTGGCTGGCTTGGTGTTAACATTTCTCTTGAAAGAATGTTGATATAATGTTCTTGTGGAATGTATACAACTTACCCTTGTTCATTCACATGCTGATTTCTCTACCCCACTATCTGGTTTCAATCAGGACATTGTATTGTGATCCTTATTTTAAGTATCACCTGTCTCAAGTTTGTGTAAACAAGCTACCATTTGTTGTCTGTATTGCCAATAAAACAACCAGCCACTGCTGAGCAATGCAAAGAATAGGATGGGGCATCCTGGTCTGGAGGGGAGGAGAAAGAAGCAAGTAGGAGGAGGGGTTGGAGAAGAGAGAGCTCTGAGGAAAGGACCTGGAAACAGCAAGAGAGCTGAGCTGGGCCTAAAATATGACTGAAAAGCAAGTATAATGTGGGAAATCTGAATGGAAGGAAGCTATGTGGGCTTGGAGGTTTAGGGTGGAGTAACTATTGCCCAGCACTGAGCTCTAGGTTAAATAAATCCTCTGTGTGGTGATTTGTGGTATACAGTTGGTTTAGGAATAACCCCTGTTTAACTAAAAGATAAATCAATATTATATATTAATAATCAGCAACATGAGAGCATGAAGAGTTTGTTCCTGTACCAAAGATGCTGGAACGTATGTGTGAAGGCTCAGCAAGGCTCTCAGATTCAGGGCCAGGACCCTTATCAATTGAGCTAACCAAGCTTCCTCTTTAAAGCTCTATGTAGGCACTGACTCAGCATCTCCACCTTCAATGCATTATTATGTAGGTGCTGTCTTGAGTGATGGGGCCTTGGATCTGTATCCAAGTATTTTATTCATGAGTTTCTTTGTTTGTTTTGCATCTATGTTCATAAGGCTAATTGTCTTTTTTGCTGGGCCTTTATGTAACAAACTGGACAATGTCTCTTTTGCTTCTATTTTGTGGAATAATTTGAGCAGTATTGACATTAGATTTTCTTTGAAACTCTGGTAGAATTCTGCACTAAAACTGTTTATCCCTGAGATTTTCTCTCTCTCTCTCTCTCTCTCTCTCTCTCTCTCTCTCTTTTTGTTTTGTTTTGTTTTATTTGGGAGACTTTTAGTGACTACTTCTAGGAGTTAGATCAATTTAAATTTCTTATCTGATCTTTTTATTTTGTTTTGTTTGTTTGTTTAATTTCACGTGCATTGGTGTTTGCCTGCATGTATGTCTGTGTGAGGGTATCAGATTCCCTGGAGCCAGAGCTACAATCTTGAACTCCCATATGGGTGCTGGGAGTTGAACCTGGTTCCTCTAGAAGAGCAGCCAGTGCTTTTAAATACTGAGCCATCTTTCCAGCCCCTTATCTGATCTTGGTTTAACTTTGGTAAGTAGTATGTATTAAGAAAATCATCCATTTCTTTTAGATTTTCCAATTTGATGGCGTAAAGATTTTTAAAGATTCTTTGGAATTCCTTAATATATGTTGTTATGTCCCCCTTTCCATTTTTAATTTTTGTTAATATGGATAAAGGTTTGTCAATCTTACTGATTTCCTCAAAGAACCATCTCTATTTCATTTATTCTTTATGTTGTTATTTGTTTGTTTCTATAT